ACATAAGCCAAAACGTAGTTTAAGCATCGTTTTCAGTACGCATGCGATTTTATGTCAAATTTCTCTCTTTCTTTTGTTAGTAAACCTTCTTTTGCTCTTGATTAAACAAAAGAAGGTGAGAAATCTGAGGAAAAAAAAATAGTTCGCGCATTGGTAACCATTCTTAAAATACGATTCGGGTTATTATCGTTGTTGTCGTTGGATAAATTTAAACGATCGGGTTTTGCCACGAATTGGTTTTKCCACAAATTCAAGAGATACGGCCGCCCCTACAAATAAGCATGATGTTATCACTAACTATACTCGGCACTCAACTCTTTGATTCTTGCACTTGGTGTTCAGCTCGAACAACACTTCCTTCAAAAAGTTTTATTTTTATTTTTATTTTTTTCTAGTCCGGTATCCTAAARAATCGTGSGTTCTGATTGGCTGTTTGAGCTGGCGGCATTTTGTCAGTATCTGCCCGCGCTCGCGGTCCGGTATGCTTTGCCACTAAACAACGAAACAAAACGATTTCAAAAACAAGTAAAAAAACAAAAATAAATAATAATACGGGAAAAAAATAAATAAGTCATTTACCGTCCTATAGTCRGTCCGGATAGGGAAAAACTGTGCCCTCGGTCTTCATAACGGACCTCGGCCTAACAGCTTCGGTCCGTTTTCGGCACAGTTTTTCCCTATCCGGACCTCTTTGCCGGTAAATAACATATATATACTATTTCGATACATGCAAATCGAAATATGGAGACCAGTTCATTTGAATCACTTTTTTTATGGAATGACTAGTCTCATGTTCACTTGGAAATATAAAAGGRYTTTACATGTAAGAAAGACTAGTCAGTCCAGAATAATAGACATTCAATTTGGTCGCCATATTTATATTTGGTGATCGTGTCAAAAATCATGTTTTTCTTGACTGCGAGCCAAGCAATYGTGCACTCTTTGTATTTATATTCGACGTCCAATGTTTAAATTTTGCGTTTCAGCTGTAAAAGAAATGATCTTGAATAAAGAAACGGATGATATAGTTAGAGTTCCAGTAGCCAGTATATATGCCGGGGTCATTGGTGTGATTATTTGGATTGGACTCATATCTACGGCTGTACTGGTAGTGTTTATAAAGAAAATATGGGTAAAAAAAGGTAGGTTTTACAATTAGAATGACCACCCATTCTTCGTTCCCTCTGTCAGATACGACTAAATTCATTTCGTGCGTATTGTATGTATTGTAGCATTATATATTTATATATTAAAATCAGTTAGAAATTATCTTCCTTGTCTTTTTTCAGGTGAGGAGCAACGAAAAGTAAGGTTAGTGTTCTCTAACGAATTGCCATGGATATGAAGACTTTTATTGATATATTTCTTTATAATTT